ACTTGCCCATTTCTATCTAGTTGCAGCAGAACAGAAACAAGTTGATGTTGTCAAATGTAAGATTGGTATTGGTGAGATAAGATGATCCTTTAAATTTTATAGGATGAGCATTGAAATGGTACGAATTAACCATAAACATATTGTAAATGACCCATAAAACGTTCAACAACGAACTGTAAACTATCGAAAATGTTCCATGGAAAATCCACATTGCATTAAATTATAAACCATAAATTAGACAAATGTTTCTCAAGTTATGGACACTAATTTTTATGTTTTAACTCATAAACCATGGATAATTGCTCCATTACTGCGAAGCTACTCAAATTTACTGTCCTGCCCACAGCGTTGGAAATGTTCGTGACATTTTACGAAGTTCACCGAGGGAAAAGTTCACGAGTTGAGAATTTTAGAGAGCTTTTCCATCACTACCAGCTCGTATTTTTTTTAGTCAGTGTAGCGAAAAAGAAGCTTCCAAAAGAAGCTTAAAAAACATCCAAAACAAGCATTTAAAAGAAGCTTCTAAAATAAGTTTTCAATAGAAGCTTTCAAACAAAGCTTCCAAAAGAAGCTCCCAAAATAAGCTGCCAAGAGAAGCTTTCAAAACAGGTCCCAAAAGAAGCTTTCAAAAGAAACTTCCAAAAGTAACTTGAAAAAGAAGCTTCCAAAAGTAACTTCAAAAAGATGTTTCCAAAAGAAGCTACCATAAGAAGCTTCCAAAAGAAGCTTCCAAAAGAAGCTTCCAAAAGAAGCTTTCAAAAAAAGCTTCCAGAAGAAGCTTCCAAAGAAGTTGAAAGCCTTCTTTGGAAGCTTCTTCTGGAAGCTTCTTTTGGAAGCTTCTTATGATAGCTTCTTTTGGAAGCATCTTTTTGAAGCTTCTTTTTAAAGTTTCTTTAGCAAGCTTTTTTTTTGAAAAAAAAATGCTTCAAAATGAAGGTTCCAAAAAAGGCTTAAAAAGAAGCTTAGAAAAGAAACTTTCAGAAGAAGCTGCCAAAAAAGTTTTCAAAAGAAGCTTCCAAAAGAAGCTTCCAAAAGAAGCTTCAAAAAGAAACTTAAAAAAGAAGCTTCCAAAATAAGGTTCCAACAGAAGCTTAAAAAACATCCAAAAGAAGCATTTAATATAAGCTGCTGAAATAAGTTTTCAAAAGAAGCTTTCAAACAAAGCTTACACAAGACGCTCTCAAAATAAGCTTCAAAAAGAAACTTTTTTGCTTCCAAAACAAGCTACCCAAAGAAACATCAAAAAGATGCTTCCAAAAGAAGCTTCCAAAAAAAGCTTTCAAAAGAAGCTGTTAAAAGAAGTTTTCAAAAGAAGCTTCCAAAAGAAACTTCAAAAAGAAACTTCCAAAAGAAGCTTAAAAAAAACATTCAATAGAAGCTTCCAAAAGTTTCACGAAATAGTATGCGAATGATTGTCCACGTTTTAAGAGGTTGGCTGGTCTTAAACCTACTACATGGACAGCTTTTTATGGAAATCGGAGAAGGTCGAGTCTGATCTATTTGTAAGTTGGTGTGGATATGCTTTCATACATTCGACCCTCCTTAGAGCAAACACGTGTTTTCAAGCGATATATAGCTTTTCTGAACACCTATGTGTACGTGAAGGCCAAACAAAATCTTAGTAGAAATGAACCTGTAATTAAATAATTATTAACTACACCGTTCGCTTACAATAACCAATGAACAACATGTCAAGTTATTTAATTTATTTACCTTTGCAGGATTTCCAGTGCATATCATCAGTGTTGATATATTTTATAAAGAAAAGGACAGCTTCGGAAATACCGTAACCTATTATCGGCACAGGGGTAAACAAAGTCCAAGAGCACTCAAATTAGGCCAATAGGTAGATGCTCTGAAACACAATGATTCCACATGTCAAAATTGAGCTCTCAATGGCGATGTTTACCTCCCTGACGATAATAGAATAAGGTATTGCCGATGCCGTCATTTTCCCTAGTATCCTTTTAAATGTAATATCTCATGTCCAAATAGCCTAAATTTGTCGGTCTATTGATTCATTAGTTTAGTATTATATTTTAAAAACATGCCGAATGTCATTTCATGGCAAATTGTGTATAGGCCCTAATACATTATTTAGAGTTAAATGAAATTGAATTGCAATAGATTGAAATCTAGGTTATTTGTATTTTGTTAAGCTTATTCTTAAGTCTACATATTCCTACCCATTCCTTAATTGACCTGCATTTGGACGCGGTCGGCACTGGTATTGCCTTTTAAAAGTATGAGATCACTACTTTTTACACATTGAGGATGAATGCTAGTCCCAATCATCATCTGTTGGTTATCTGTGTAATTACAGCTGATCTGGCAGTAACTGAATAGCAGACGCGGGCGGTCAATCATGCTCATGCTTATATTTCATGCAGCTTCTACCAAATCCCTGACAGGTTCGTGTTGATGTCAAGCAGACCGCTACAATTATAATTATCACGAAAGGAGGAAGGAGATACCTGCGATGGGTCGAAGAAAGTCTACGAGGAGGCCTGTTGCTGTCGATGCAGCTCCACTTGGTAATTTGGGTGAGATCATGTTACTTTTTATTTATTTATACAGTAACCTCTCTACATCGTTAGGACATCAATTCAGCTTATCGTTTTCTAAAACGAACCCTGCTGCAAACCCTGCCCTCTTACCCAACATCCCAGTGATTCCTCGTGGAAGTGCAAAGAATTTTTCGGCTTCCATCAAAGCGAGTGTCACGTCAACACATTCCTACCCATTCCTTTCTTGACTTGCGTTCGGGCGCGGCCAGCGCTGGTATTGCCTAGTTTGAGATCACCAGTTTTTACACATTGAGGATGATTGCTAGTCCCAACCATCGTCTATTGATTCTCTGTGTGATCTGGAAATAACAGAGTAGTAACCGTGGGCTGTCCATCATGCTCATGCTCAGTAGAAAAGAGCCTGAAATTAACCAGCGATGTTGTGCTCAGAATGCAAAAACGGTTGCTATTAGGCCATCTAGGTCATTTTTAATTAAGTAGACACTGAGATGCACACATGACCAGCAGGATATGAAGGTGTGAAACTTGAGTACTATCCAAGTTACCAACAAGTCCACTAATTCGTCGTTTTGCAATATACGACTAATGTGGGGCTATCAAAGCTTTACATTAGCCGTATTTATATTGCAAAAAGGCGAATTAGTGGGCTTGTTGATTATTTGGGCACTACAGGTATCGATTGACGCTCCATTTAATCTTTCGATCTTCAAAAGGTCAGGTCAAAAGCTACATAGGGGCGATTCAAATACGGCATTCACAAGTTTTTAAATTATGTTTAACACCTTTCCCTCCTGTGTCACTATTTTCCCCATACCTATTACACGAACTGTCCCAAATCTTACGACATCTTTCAAGAGTGGACGTAATATTTGATTACTTCTGTTTAAATCGAAACTATAACGGCAAACATTTGAGGAATCATCAAACAAATACTCGAGCGGAGATTTTTCTCTGGCCATTGCGACAAAACAGCAGGTTTTAATATCAAAATAGGGATGTAAGCAGATAACATTTGACAGTTTGAAAAGGTATGTTGACGGCGCTGGCGGTCTAGTGGTAAGCGTGACTTCTCTCTCATCCCAGTGTGTCTGATTCAGTGGGGGTAAAAGTTATGAAATAGGGAAAATGGATGTAATTTCGGGCTAAATGCCTTTAATTTGGGCCCATACATAAATTCAGCAATCGACTAAATTTTCAATAGCGACCAAAAATATCCATTAGTACCCACTGACGCGTGCGTCTAGATAAAATTGATAAATAGCAGATTTTCAGCGATGGGCCCAGTCTTAGGCATCCATAGAGCCATTTCCCCAATATTGCCATTTTCGCCCCTATGTTTTCGTAGTGACATTTTATTAGACATTTTATATTGTAAAAAAGTCTGGTTGGGATTTTTCTGATGCGAAAAAATCTATGGTCACATCTTTCTTCGGAAGGGCAGTAAAGCCGTTGTTGTTTAATTGTATTCGTAGGTACTAACTTATTAGCACTCTTTACGATCACCAGTGAAAGATTAGAAATGTATGTGATCAGTGTCGTTGATGCTAGTGTATTTTCAATTGGCTCAAAATTGTTCTCATTGCATCCTTCAAAAAAGCAAGTAGGTAAGTAAGCCATCAACGTTAAAGGCTTGAAGCAACGTTATATCGTTATATTCCTGTAAAATTGCAATGTCATCTGTGACTGAAATCACAATGCATAATGGCCCCCTTAGAAGACTTCTTTCTCCACTTTCAAACAACAATGCTATGCAGTGAAATGACTTTATCGTGGCGTGGTCAGTCAGTAACGAGCACCCAGAAACAAGTAGTGCCAAATTGCATTTCTCCCGGAAGCCGGATTCTTGTGGTTTGTGTTTGTTAAAGCACATCCGACAAGATTGAAGAAAAATATTAAACTTTCCATATTCTATCGTTCCGCACAGCACAATGGAGCTACAAGCAGTAGAGGCGACGTGCAACGATTGCCTTCGGTGTCACACTTTCCGTCTAACACTACTGGTAGACATGTGACATTGCTCCGGGCTGCTTGCTAGTCCTGTTGTGTGCGAGGTTCAGCTTGTGGCCGATATGATGTCTCTGTACGGAGTTGTTTCGGTATTGCACCGACGAGCCAAAGTATAGCATCATGGATCCCAGAAGGTGCCATATGGCTGTCATGAGCGTCATCTATTTGAATGTAAATTTTATGCCCCTTTACCGGCTGAAGCTGCTTACCCCTGTCAGTGGGTTACGCAACAGCTCTCAAAATATTTACGAATTAATTTCACCTATAGGCAAAACAAAGTATCGCTTCTGACTGTACGTGTTTGGGTAAGGTTTTCCCAGCCTGTTCCAGACACCCGAAAGGGGTTTTTAAAGGAAACATTGGGATATGTTTAGTTTGATTGCCAGTAATGAATTCCCAAATCGGATTTGAAAATCCAGCGAAGATAACCTGAATTATTTCAATGAAAATGAATCGTTTATTTCTCTACTTAGAAACCACTTCGTTCATAGTTTCGGCTATCCAATCGACTGCAGTTGTCACTCTGCCGTAGACGCCGGGATAGCCAGGGTCAGCACAGCCCTTACCCCAGGAAACCACTCCTACCAGCACGTCATTGCAAACCAGTGGTCCACCCGAGTCACCCTAAAATGAAAATTCCACTGATTTGTTGATCCATCCTAAACCTACATCATCTACCTGACATGAATCCTTGCCTCCTTCTTCGTAGCCAGCACAAATCATGCTGTCCGACACGCCACCGTACTCTTTGTAAACGATACTACACTTTTCCTGATTATACAGAGGGACGGCAGCAGCTCTCAAACTTAGCGAAGACTCATTAGCATTTCGTGTATTACCCCAGCCGGATACGTCACAAAGCGTTCCATCTTCGAAGAAATCACTACGAGCGGGCAACGAAATCGGTTGAACTGTTTTGCTAAGATTAAGCGGTTCTCTAAGCTCCAATAGCGAAAAATCATAATTGCTCCAAGAGTTTTGCTTAGGATGGAAGTATATGTCGCGAACTTGCGCCAAGATACCCCCGGATCGCACTTCCGTTGATCCGGCTCGTACTTTCAACGTAGATGCATTGGTGATTCCCCTGCGAATACAAATTCATACAATTCAAAAATGAATAAAACATTTTGCAACATACTTGGTGCAGTGGGCAGCAGTCAAGATCCACCTGTCGTTGAGAACGGAACCACCGCAGAAATGTTGGTTCCGCTGCAGAGACACTTGATACGGATAGCCGGTGATGTTGACGGCTACTCCACCTACGATTCTTCCGCCAGATTGACCGGGTTTCGATCGCGGGGCGTAGGATCCATTGGCGAGTGTCGTCACACAGAACGCGAAAGCTATTACCGACGATTTTAGCATGCTGACGACGGTGTTGAAAGGTTGGCACGTTTGTGACATGCAGGTTTCTGTGGTTTAAGTTATATACCAACGGCACTCAGCAGGTTGCCGCTTTGTTGTTTGATAAGAAATGAAGGCTAAAGGTTTTTGAAGCGGAATAGAATGGTTCACTTCCAGTAGTGATAAGGTCACATTGCTTGATTTATTTTTTGGTGGTTAGTAATTAAAGAACTCACTTCTAAAATAGTTGCTCCATTGCCCTTGAATTCTGTTCTGTTTACCGTTGGTTATCTGTTCCAGGGTTGAAGGGACTCCCAATATGTCACTTTCTCTCTGCAGAAGTGTTTGGGAAGATCACCAGACCTGCCTTTAGAGCAACAGTCATGCTATAATATTTTCATAGGCCTGCCCTTGAATATTATTACAAGGCCTTACGTTAAAAACTGGACACTTAGTAGCCAAAATCGGAACGTGCGAAAAACGATACATTGTTATGTTCTGAAATATTGTGCTCGAAAAGCATTCTCCTAATAAAAGCTTTCTTCTCAATTAACCCCACTCAATAAATTCCCTCCGTTCACTACCAGAACAGCCAGCCACAGCGAACAAATAAATAACAACCACAATCTGTTAACCTCTCACGTACCCCAACTGTCTCGGTTAATCTTCTGGATACCATCATATGTCAGCTTTTACTATTAGCCAATAACTAAATCAAGCCATCATATTTTTATTATCCTTTGCCCGCAGGACAAACCTCCGAAAGCAACGAACCACGAGCAGCAGCAGTGGCATCAAAAGGAAAAAATAAATAATCCCATACCGGCAGAAAACGGATAGCTTGGCTCCCATTTGGGGAATTAAATCAACACAATGTCATATTGTACGGACTTTTGGTGGTAGCTCGTGTGGACGGACTGACTGCTCTCCGGATTGGAATTATGACAGCGGAAAAGCATCAGCAAATCCTAATAGGGACAAACTCTTTCTGGTATTCTCAGATCCTTCCCGACTATGGTGCACAGTGGGCCAGGAATTAAATCTAGCTGGAAAAAAATAATAACGCTCTGGTATTGCATCTAATTGAGTTGACGTCTTGAGTGAAGTTTCTTGGATTTAGTAAGACTACAATTTGGTGCATAAACATAGTTCAACTTTTGGCCGCAAAGTTGGCTCAGCGATACAAACTGTTTTATTTCACAAGATAGATATTTTTCAACACAAATTTTAAAAATCTCCCATATGTGTAGATCATAACAAAATTCATTCATATTTGGCACAGTTGTTGGAGACCTAAATACAGATCGAAAGAACTATTCAAACACTTGCGTTCACTTGCCCGTTATTTAGAAAATGTTTTCAGAAATAATTTTTTTTTTATTTCTTGTGATATTAATATTTTTAATACTCTTAACCAGTGTTGCCAGATTGTTTTAAAGCTTATCGGTATCAAAGGTATTAAAAAATCGGTATTTATCGGTATTTACTAGGGAAATGGCTCTAATGTTGACCTATGGATCTAAGATTGGGCCCATCGCTAAAAATCTGATATTTATCAATTTTATCTAGATGAACGCGTCATTGGGACGGTAATAATGGATATTTTGGATCGCTATTGAAAATTTAGTGGATTACTGAATTTATGTATGGGCCCAAATTAGGGGTATTTAGGCCGACATTAGGCCATTTTCCCTATTTAACTAATTTTATATTTTTGCCATTTTTGAAAGGGACTTGAGGGAAATTGCTTTGTTGAATGGCTTTCTCAGTCTTAAAACAGTCTTTAATTTTTAAATTTTAATTTTTAAAATTATCGTTGTCCTCAAGTGGTGATAAAAATTGTGAGAAAGTAGTTTTTCAATTAAATATCATTAAATGAAACCAAAATATGGAAAATCAGCCACAACAACGACTAAACTATTGACAATAACGACAAACAATATTTTCACTTGAAAAAGGCCACAACCCATGGCCGAAATGTCGAGCAGATCGTAGTCGTTGCAATGTTTTAAGACTAAGAAAGCCGTTAATCAAAGTAAAATTTTAGCTTTTGTACAATGATTGGAAAATTCCGGAAGCAAACTCAGGGAATGTTTGAATTAGCTTCTGAACGAAGCTGAAAAACCATCCAGAGAAAGACGAAAGAAGCTCTCCTGGATGAAGTTCAAGGAAAGTTCTAAGAAAAGTAGGAAAAACATCCGGGAAGCTTCCTGGACACGAATTGAGAAACTTGTGGCGAAAATTTAAATAAACTATCGGATGTCACATCTAAAGGAAGCCAAAAAAGTTTTGGAAACCCGAAGTAAATTTTCAGAAGTAGCCATTTCCAGGCAAAGTCAGAAAAGCTTGGAAAAACCTTCCAATAGAAGTCGAACAAAAAAAAACCGTTGGCTTATGGTCAAACTTTCAGACAAGACGAAAGAATTTTTTGGGATATTTAATTGAACTTCCTGGAGAAGACAAACAAAACTTCCTGGAGACGCTGACAGAAACCTAAGGTAGATTGGCAGAAACATCTGAAGAAAGTTGGAAGCCAGCGCGCTTACGGCACAGTCAAAAGAAACAAGGACATAATTCCGGAAGAAAGAGATTCCTGGGGGATGTTTTAATGATCCAGAAAGTTTTCCTGATATTCATTAAACATCCTTGGAGACTACGCAATTTTCCTGAAGTGTTCGAAACATTCCTGAAATGCACTTAGGAATATTCCATAATTCCTTGAAATTCCTTAAAAGTTCTTGTAATTTTCCTGAAATTGGGGGCTGTTTAGGAGTTCTCTGGTCCTCCTCGAAGTACTCGGAACTATCCTGATTGTAATAAGCCTACCGGAATATCTCTTTGAAGGTTTCTGGACTTGCTTGAAGATTACGAAATCTCTTAAGTGCTCTCACAATTTTCTTGATTTTATTGTAACATCAGCATTGAAGTTCTCTGATCTTTCCAATTTTTTTTATTTTTAAAAGTTATCGACACTGCCATTAACAAGAACTTCCCGTAAAATGTTCTCACAATGTTCTAATGTTCATGGAACTTCCCTTTCGTTTCCAAAATTTGCATGAGCTCCTCAGGACATTGCTGTAGTTTTATAATTTCAGCAATTTCATTAATTAATTGATCTGTCCTGATGTTTTCTGAGCTTCACTAAAGTTCGTGCCCATTAAATTTCCCTGAAGTTCTTTGGACTTGTGAAGTTTCCAAAATATTTATGATGTTTTCTTAAGTTCACTGGAGTTCGCTGGACTTTTCTGAAATTCCCGGGTTTTCGAATTTTAACTAAAGTAAATGAAACATCCTTGAAGTTCCGGGAGAGGAGGCGAAGGCTGAAGAAGCTTCCAAGGTAAGGTGGAAGAAAATTCCAGGGTAAGTTGGATGAAACTTCAGGAATTTAATGTTTAAACAATTTTTCTCGATTCCCTAGGAATTAACGGAAAGAGCCATCGACTATTTCTCGATTGATGGTTGCCTAAAACGGTGAGGAAATGCAAACATTAGTCGACGGTATCAAGCATAAGGCATATTTAGAGATGATTGCTTAGAATTTTTAAGGCTAAAAAAATATGAGGTATTCAAAAAGATGCAAGTCTCTCACATATAATTTTGCCGAAATTCGAGCGCGAACAGGCAACAATAATTTTGATTATTAAAAAAAACGGTACTAATCGGAATTAAATCTTAAAAATCGGTATCCTGAGGAACCTTATCTGTATATCGGTATCTAGTTTGGAAATCGGTATAAATACCGATAAATCGGTATATCTGGCAACCTTGCTCTAAGCATAATTGCACAAACGAAGTGATAGACGACTAATTGGCAATGAAATCAATTAAAATAATGTGGTTCGCTGTAATATAATTTTATTAGGAGCTTGTGCCGGCAGCCACCAGATTGGCTTGTATTTTTGTTTAAATTTAAACAAAGTATATTTTGTGTGCAATGATATTTGACAGTGTGCAAAGAGTGTATCATTTTGTCATTTTTTATGCATTTCAGTTTTGAGTAGAGTGAAAAAGATAGAACCAAAACATTCTAGTAAATTTGGTGATAATGCTAGTACAATCCAGTAGTAGTGTTGCCATGTGGTACACTAAAAAAATCCAATAGCAGGTTCGTCACTTCGTTTTTGATAATAGCATTGATCTGGAAAAATTTCGATTGATCAGTACCAATCGAGGAAAAATGATAAAAGTATTCTTTTAAACGATTGTTCAAAATATTATACTAAAAACGTGAAATTCAGACAATTTTTATAACATTTCGTATATCTGGGGTTTGAAGATGTAAAGCTTTTATATCTTCGGCAACTTTTCAAAACAATTTACGTTTTACAACTTTGCCCAAGGCAGCAAACGTCAGTTTTGTGAAATAAAAAAAAATATATCGCTGCGGTACCTTTGCGGCCAAAAGTCGAACTATTTTTATCCATCAAATTATAGTCCTACATAATCCAAGAATCTTCACTGCAGACGTCTACTCAATTGGATGCAATACCAGAGCGTTATTATTTTTTTCTTGCTAGATTTAATTTCTAGCCTATTGTGGCGGTGGGTAGCTTCTCATCTCGGTGGAAATCTCTCACCCTTTTTGTCGATGTTTGACGAGTTTTCGGTTCGTTTGTACAAAGTTTGGTTTGGTTGGTAGGTACCTACCTTTGTTTTTTTTTTTTTTTTCTATGGAACTGTTGAACGAAGATGTGGGTTTCTTTTCAACGAGCTATCGTAGAAGTAACTCAAGCATGATAAATTGAAGTGAATTTCAAGTATTTTATCTTCCATTGTGTCGAAACGAGCACTGACAGTGATGCCAACTGAGAGGTTGCCAGAATCTGAGTCTGATGTATATGAAGTCAAGCCAGATTAACCATGTTTCTGATTTAGAATGACAGTTTAAACAAAATTAATAAGAACGTTTAAACCATGTTTTAAATAAATCAAATGTAAACTTGTTTACAGTTTATTGTATTTTGAGCACGTCGCACGTTGATAATAATGCGTTGCAAGATAACCTTAGGATTTTTTCAAATGCTGGTAACTTC